TTTTTTCAACTATGGGGAAAACCTTAAGCTGGTTTGGTTTGGAATCAGAGTTCCAGGACTGAAATCTGGATGTCTTTCTTGCCCTCTGTGGGACCTTGGGTTGGTAGATCCACCCCTCTGAGCCTCAGCCTGTTTGTAAAACTATATATTTTACTAATTAATGTTATTTATTTTCTCTTCCAATAGAATACAGCTTCCAGGCCAGGCGTGGTGGCTCACGCCTGTAATCCCAGCACTTTGGGAGGCCAAGGCAGATGGATCACCTGAGGTCTGAAGTTCGAGACTAGGCTGGCCAACATGGCGAAACCCTGTCTCTACTAAAAATACAAAAATTAGCCAGGCATGGTGGTGCATGCCCATAATCCCAGCTACTCAGAAGGCTGAGGCAGGAGAATCACTTGAACTTGGGAGGTAGAGGTTGCAGTGAACCAAGATCAAGCCGCTAGACTCCAGCCTGGGCGACAGAGTGAAACTCTGTCTCACACACGAAAAAAAGAATACAGCTTCCAGAAAGGCAGAAAGTTTTGCCTCCTTTGTCCATGGAGACCTTCTCAGGGTCTAGAATAATGGTTGGCATGTAATGGACATTCAAGAAATATATGTTGATGGAGTAATTTAGGGAAGATGACAAGACTGTATTTTTTTTTTTTTAACAGATGCCAGAGGTATTAAATGGAACCATAAAGCCAAAGATTTCAGCAGAGCTTGGCACATGGGAAGTGCTCAGTAGATAGTGGCACTAATTGTGGTCACTGTCCACATAGTTGTTATGACAAATATTATAATTATGGCAAGTTTTCCCTTTAGGGCATAGCCCAAAGTGTAGGTCATTTCTCTTTGCCTCAGTCTGAGATCAGGGAAAAAAACAAGAGCCTATCCTTTTTCAAGTTAAAAAATGCAGGTTCATCAGGCATCCTCAGTGTATGATTGTGTCACAACCTGAGAAATCCCCATTCTCCCGATGACCACCAGCCAAAACTCTAGCAATGCCGCACTGGACTGGCTGAGTGAGAAGAAAACCCACTGAAGTTAAGTACAATTATGAGCTGCAGGAGACTTGCAGGTAGTCAACATGGGGGCCCTTTCTCTTGGGAAGAATTGTGCTTTTGAATATTAACTTAATTAGCCCCCCCCCTTAACTGTTTTAAATATCACTGTTTTTCCTGGAGCTGTGCATTGTCAGAATTAAAAAGCACACACACATACTGGAAATTATTTAATAATAGAGCCTGCCATTACATTCCAGAGCTCTTTGTAGTTGAAAATAGCTGAGGTGTTGGAGATTGGGGATCACCAGGGGTTCAGTAGCCATTTATACTAAACAGCAGTGGCAAAATGCTCAGAAAATTAACCTGATGCTTCGAGGCACTCCGGGGAAAATGTCCAACTAATTTTGTAAGACTGGCTGCCAAAGAATCACTCTGGTCTCCGGTTTCTGGAAAACAGCAGGGCTTGTCCCTCTTGCTCACCCACGTGTGCAGGAGGGAGCTGTGGGGGGCAGGTGGGGACTCTGTTTCTAGGCACAAACTGGTGTGGACACACAGCCATGAACCTGTGTGTCCACAGTGGACTCTACTTTGTTTGAAAAGATGTGGAAAATTGAGAGAGGCAGATGTTCCTCTTTGTTTCAACGGTGTCTGTGTGTCTTTAAGGGTTTGTGTAGATGCAAGTATGGGGGACGCTGGGCTTCGGTGTTGGGAGGCAGTGATCCTCTCCATGGTCTATTGTTTGGCTTTTGCTCCTGAGGTAGAAATCACTCCCCACAACCCTAACAGCACTAGAAGCAGCACAGCTTCTATGAGGTGATGTAGATTTGCCTCCAGCTGTCCAGGCTGCACGTTTTCTGCATGCACCTGGATTCTCACTGATCAGTACCATTTGTCTGCATGGGACCAGGAAGGTGGTAGGCTCAGTCTTGGCTGCAGAAAAACGATGAACTTGAAAAAACAGTAAAAACACATTTTTCACATTTGAATAAAGAGGAGAAAGGGGCTGGGCGCGATGGCTCATGCCTGTAATCCTAGCACTTTGGGAGGCCGAGGCAGGTGGATCACCTGAGGTCAGGAGTTCAAGACCAGCCAGGCCAACATGGCAAAATGTTGTCTCTCCTAAAAATATAAAAATTAGCTGGAGACGGTGGTGTGCACCTATAATCGCAGCTACTTGGGAGCCTGAGGTGGGAGAATCGCTTGAACCTGGGGGGCGGAGGTTGCAGTGAGCAGAGATCACACCACTTCACTCCAGCCTGGGCGGAAGAGGGAAACTCCATCTCAAAAAAAAAAAGAGGAAAAAGGAAGATGTATCTTACTTTTTGGTGTTTTGATGTTTCAAGCTCTTATTAATACTTGTTCTTTTTAAGTAGATGATCATGGGAGGAAACAGAATTTTAGACAACAGTAACAGAAACAGCTCTTCTTGGGAGGGAAACCCCATGTCAGTTACTCAGTGAATTCTGACTGAGTTGTGATCACCCCGTTGCAGTGGAGGCCAGCCGGGCCTGTGCTTTCCCAGGGGAGCCTGCTTCATCTCCCTAGAACATTACCTTTGCTAGTTACAAGTGAATAGCAGCGTGTTGCCAAAGTGCACTCCGACTCATGCCATGACCCTGCGGAGCGTCCTCCAGGAGTTCAGGAGTCTCTCCCATTGCTTTAGATTGGAGCAGTGCTTCTCAAAGTGTGGTCCTGGGACCCGCCACAGCATCTCCTGGGAATCTGCTAGACGTGCACATTCTTGAGCTCCATCCTGGACCTACTGAATCAGAACCTCTGGGGATGGGGCCCAGCCGTCTGCATTTAACAAGCCCTTGGGATCCAGATGCTTGCTCAAGTGTGAGAGCCTCTACTTTAGGATCAAGTCCTAAACCCCTAAAAGGGCCTCAAAGCCCTGCGTTATCTGGCCCTGCTAATTTCTCTCTTCTCACGTCACATCTGCCGCAAAGAACTAACGAATGTAACCTGTATTCTTCTTGTGGGCTTTTCCAGATGTGTCTCTCTAAACTAGGCTCCCTGCACCCACTTTGGCCAAAGCCATTCACCTTGTGCTCAGCTGGCCCTTGTGTAGGAATGGCTTTTCCTGGCTTCCAGCTCAGGGTTCCTGCCCCATTGCGTGCTTTTACAGCACCGTCTTCCCCTTCTCTATAGCACTCTTAATAATTATAATGAACCCTTTGTTTAAAGCAATGGGTCTTAACCCAACACACTTTCAAATCACCTGGGAGCACTGAAAAATTCTCATGTTAAACTGCACCCCAATTAAATCACAATCTCTGAGGATGCAACCCAGGTGTTGGTTTCATTTATTTATTTATGAGATGGAGTCTCAACTCTGTCGCACAGGCTGGAGTGCAGTGGCGGGATCTTGGCTCACTGCAACTTCTGCCTTCCAGGTTCAAGAGATCCTCCTGCCTCAGCCTCCTGGGGAGCTGGGATTACAGGCATCCACCATTACACCCAGCTAATTTTTTGTATTTTTATTAGAGATGGGGTTTATACCATATTGGCCAGGCTGGTCTTGAACTCCTGACCTCGTGATTTGCCTTCCTCTAGCCTCCCAAAGTGCTGAGATACGGGCGTGAGCCACCACGCCCCGTCTATCTTTCCTTTTTTTTTTAAAGCTACCCAGGTGATTCCTATGTGCAGTGGATGATGAGAGCAAGAGGTTCAGTGCCCATCTTCCTGGAAGCCTCCAAGCCCCTCAAGTGTAAAGGCTTTGGCTCAGTTGTTTATGGCTGTTTTCCTAATCCCCACCTGAGTGCATTAAAGACATCTGTTGAATGTGTGCATTAAAAAAACAAAACCCGTGTTTTGTTTCTTCACTGCTTCACTGCGCCCTTGATTCGGCAGCCAGGCAAAAGGAAAAGCTTCCCACAGGCCACATCCCAAGCCTCTGGAAGGATGACACTTCTCCAAGCAAAAGAAGTAGCTGGTTGCAGCCCAGCGTTCAAAATCAAGCTGATGACAGGGGCAGTGTATGAATGTGGATGTAAGTCTGGGCCTTTTAACTTGTAAGAAGCAGATACCTTTGAAAGAGGCAGATGAGGGCACTCAGTGAGTAGGAAAGAATGCATGCGGGTAGCTTAAGAGAGGACAAGCATTACACAAAGGCAGGGATGACAATAATAAGAGAGTCCGGTGGTTTAATTTGGTTCTTGGAGGAGAATCAAGTTGTTGTACCTTCTGCAGCTTATCCTCACAGCTGTCCAGCAAATAATGAATGTGGTATCTACCAGTATGGAAATCGGGACAAGGCGCGACTTTGATTTCTTATTTGTTATTTTTAATCACCCAATTTCTACACCCGCTGAGCATCCTTATAGCCACAGGAGGGTCATAAAAATACAAATAACACCGAAGAGGCCTGTGGGCACAGACTTGTTACTTCTGCAGGGTTGACGGCTCTCTTTTAACTAGTGTAAAATCAGGCCAACCATAAATTGCCATTTTTGTTGTTGTTATTGCTTCTAGTACAACTTCAGGAAATGTAAGGAAATCACTAAATATTTCTAATAGATGTTAAAAGAGAATCTGCCCCAGGATGGAGTTCTGGATTTTAGAAAGCTTTTTATATAATAGCCAAGAAAATAGCAAACCCTCACAGGGACAGGGCATTTCTCTGTGCCGGGTACTTCCAGATCCCCTTCATGCATTTGCTCATTTAATGGTCACAACACCTCTCTGGGGTAGGTTCTACGATTATCCCTGTTTTATAGAGGACGAAATGGAGGCACGCATGGAGAAGTTAAATAATTTGGCCAAAGTAGCAGGGTGGGTTAGTCGGGGAGCCAGGATCGGACACCAGCCAATGGTTCCTGCTCTCAGCGAGGGTGACCAACCATCCCTAGTTTGCCCTGAGCTGTGCAGATTTTCACACGGAAAATCTAGTGCCCCAGGAGGTAGCCTGGGATCGCTGGTCATCAACGAAAACAGGCTAGGACTAGGCTCTTTTCATTGACAATTCTGGAGGCAGAGGTGGGGACAGAGATGAAGGCCCCCAAAGGCAAGAAAGAAGGGACAGACTTTTTTAATTTTTATTTTTTTTAAAAAAAATTCGATGCGTGGAGAGGACGGAGCAAGCTCCTATTCCATCTCCCTGCTCCAAAAATCCATTTACTATCCGGTCCTCCAGTAGAGGATGTATCCGTCGATTAAACTGATAAGAACAGATACTACGCTTAGTTCTTGGCCAAAAGGCCGGGCGCAGTGGCTCACACCTGTAATCCTAGCACTTTGGGAGGCTGAGGTGGATGGATCACCTGAGGTCAGGAGTTCAAGGGGCAGACTTTTATACCAAGTCACTTGTTTTGGTATGTGAGGGCCTCCAACAGAGTCTGATGCCTCCCGGGGCAACTGCGTCAGGTCACCTCAGTCAATGTGTGGCAGTACTTGGGACAGTGAAGGTAGTGGCTCTGAAGCCAGGTAGCCTTGGTTCCAACCTTGGCTTGACCCTTTGGCTGCAAGATCTTGGGCAAAAATCATAAGCTCTTCAATTCCTTAGTTTCTCCATTTGCAAAACGAGAGCAATGGAAGTGCCTAACCCAGAAGGTTGTTGAAGTTTAAATGGGAGAATGCATGGTGCACAGCACATAATAAATATTCTACAACAGAAACCTATTATTACTGTTGTCCTTTTTGTTAAAAGTGTCCCCCAGGCTGGGCGTCACCACGCTAGGATTACTCATGCCTGTAATTCTAGCACTTTGGGAGGCTGAGGTGAGCGAATCACTTGGGATAGGGAGTTCGAGACCAGCCTGGCCAACATGGAAAAACCCTGTCTCTACTAAAAATACAAAATTAGCCGAGTGTGATGGTGTATCCAAGCTACTTGGGAGGCTGAGGCAGGAGAATCACTTGAACCCAGGAGGCCGAGTTTGCAGTGAGCCGAGGTTGCACCACTGCACTCCAGCCTGGGCAACAAGAGTGAAACTCCATCTCAAAAATGAATGAACGAATGAATGAATGAATGAATAAACAAATAAATAAATAAAAGTGTCCTCCAATGGTGGAAAAAAGATCTATGCATGGTTTAGGAAAGCCTTTGATTTGCTCTTGAATTGGTTATGAGAGACTGAATGCTGTTATTTAAAACAGGATCAGGTAGTCCTTAGAGCAAAGCCCCAGGAAGGTGCCCTCCAAAGACTAAAATGAAAATGAGAAAAATGAGGTAATTCCCTGAGAGTTACATGAGTAAGATCTGCACATAATGCATGTGACAAGTTATTGACAGAATTCCCCTTAAAACGCAAGAGGTGTGTGAGGTGACATTATTAAGGATCGCAGGGCTTAGAAATCTCAACCAGTCTCAGAAAAGCATGCCAACAGAAAGGGGTGGTCTGCCTGGGGTGTGGAGAGGGAGCTGGTGGAGCAAGACGGAGCCAGGGTCAGTTCAGGGGTGAGGGTGTCCCGCTCAACAGAGGGGCACGAAGCAACAGCACCTGCCATTTGTCCATGTTCAGCAATTCACATCATTGTTATTTCACTGAGCCATTTCAAGGATAGTATGAAGTACACATTATTATCATCATTTGAGGCTGAAAAAACTGAAGCTCACAGAAGCTAATTAACTTTCCCAGGGTCATAAATCACTGCAAGAGGTACAGGATTAGGGTGTGAACCGAGGCCTGTCCGACTCTCAGCCCATGCACCTTGCGCCCCTCAGCCAGGTAGGCCTGTACAGGGAGAAGGCAGCCTCAGAATATCATATTACTTGCTTTGATTTCTTGTTCCCCAAGCAATCTTCTGCTTTAGACTTCATGTCCCGTATGGATTTCCCTTTAGGGAAAGAATACACTGAGCAGGAGATGTGGAGTTTCCTCACTGTGAATTATTGAATGGCCATTTCAGGTTTAGACCGGAATGTGGATAGTGTGAGGGAGTCAGTCTAGAGCTTGATCTAGTCTGTCAACAGAAACAAAACGGAATTTCTAAAGCTGAGAATAGGACTATGCACCACAACGATCCTGCTTTGGGAATCCCCTGCGTGGCATCCTGCCTGGGTGGTGGGGTACTCTCCCCGTCAACTGCTGCTTCTGTCTCCTGCCCTCTCCCTAATCCTTGATGAGTTCAGTGTGTGGGAATCAGGGGCCGAAAGGGCCTCTGTGGGAGAAATACCAATCTCACACCAAACATATACTCAATGATCAGAATATGCTGATTTCTGCTGTAGACTCATGAGTTTATTCTTTCATTCATTCAATAATTATTTATCAAGCATCTATTATGCCCTGGGTAGTTTCTAGACAATGGCGTACAGTGGTCGGTGAAAGAGACAAAGTCTTTTTCTTGAAGATCTTACATTCTACAGAGAGGAGACCCACAATAAACAAATAAAAATGAATATGGTTTGTCAGATGATAATAACCGGTATAGAGAAACATAGGGAGAGGGGACCATGATGGGGTTGTATGTGATGGAGGTCACTGTCTTACATAGGGTGGTCAGGGAAGCCCTTGCTGATAAGTTGTTTAGAAAAAACCTAAAGGAGGGGAGGAAGCAAATCATGCCAATATTCGGGAGATAGTAATGCAGGCAGAGGAAACTGTAGGTACGAAGGCCCTAGGCATGAGAGCGTGGGGGGTGTTGGAAGGACAGAGGTGGCCCGTGTGCCTGTGGCAGAGTGAGTGAGGCATGGGACCTTGTAGTCCACTGTAAGGATATTGGTTTTGTTCTGAATGAAAAGAGGCCATTGGAAGGTTTTGAGCAGAAGACTGGTCTGATCTAACATGAGTTTTTAAAGGCTCCCTTTGTGCTGGATGAGGAACAGACAGAGGATGGGGCCAGGGCAGAATCTGGAAGGCTGGCCAGTAGAGACCCATGAGGACCATCTAGGTAAGCCATGGTGGAGGCTTGGGGAGGGCACAAATTTGTCCTGCTCTGTGACACTATGTGGCACTGCTCATGCTAGATGTGTTTATGTTTCCCTGTACATGCCTCAGGAGGGGAAGGCTTTGGAGACACAAAAGCAGAGGATTAAATACACCATCTATAAACAGCACTCCCCACCAGCTACCCCTGTTGACGCAGCAAACCAGACTCCTCGGCTGGAACTAGCAGGCAGGTGAGATTGCACAGGCTGGGTTTTGCGAGGGTTCTGCCCTGCTCTGCAAGTTGCTTTTTCATACTAAAAATATTGTGGAGATGAAGGGAAAGGATGACAGGGGAGCATCGTGCTGCATCAGGACAGACATGGCTGAGAGTGGAGAAGCAGAGAGAACCATTGAGTCACAGCAGCTCTGTCTGCAAGGTCAGGGCTGACAACCTCACATGAACATCTCCAGCAAATGAATACCTCCCTTTTCTTTTCTTTCTTTTTTTTTTTTTTTAGATGGAGTTTTTTTTCCTCTCGTCACCCAGGCTGGAGTGATATTGGCTCACTGCAACCTTCACCTCCCGGGTTCAAGCAATTCTCTGGCCTCAGCCTCCCTAGTAGCTGGGATTACAAGCTATGCCTGGCTAATTTTTGTAATTTTAATAGAGACAGGGTTTTACCACATTGACCAGGCTGGTCTCAAGCTCCTGACCTCGGGTAATCTGCCTGCCTCTGCTTCCAAAAGTGCTGGGGTTACAGGTGTGAGCCACCACACCCGGCCACCTTGCCCTTCTTAACACAGCGACATCAGACCTCAAGGCTGAATTCATCTGGCCAGCATCATCTAGTTTTTGGCAATAGGCTCTCTTTGAACCCCCAAGCATGCTCCCAGGTTATTACTCCTGGTCTTTTAATTCCTTTGTGTTTCCTTTAACCCTATAGGCCAGCTTGGATCTGAATGGGACACTCAGACATGCTTAAAAAGCTTGTGCTATCTATCATCTATCCATCTATCTATCTATCTGTTTATATTTATTATTAATCTGTCAAACATTCCTTACCAAAAATCCATCTAAATCCTGTGAAGATGTGGTCACTAAACAGTATGTGTCAAACAGTCTCATAGAGTAGCCCATATTTTATATTGTTTTATGGCACTGTTTTTTTTTGAGATGGAGCCTTGCTCTGTTGCCAGGGTGGAGTGCAGTGGCACAATCTCAGCTCACTGCAACCTCTGCCTCCCGGGTTCAAGCGAGTCTCCTGCCTCAGCCTCCTAAGTAGCTGGGACTACAGGTGCATGCCACCACGCCCAGCTAATTTTTGTATTTTTAGTAGAGACGGGGTTTCACCATGTTGGCCAGGATGGTCTCGAACTCCTGACTTCATGATCCACACTCCTTTGCCTCCCAAAGTGCTGAGATTACAGGCGTGAGATACCATGCCTGGCCGTTTTATGGCACTTTTTGCCTTGTACAGAATCAATAAAACATTCCAGTTTCTTCCCTGCTTCTTCACTCTTTTTTCTTTCCTCTGGCTGGCACGGTGTTTCTTTTGCCCACCCTTAGTCATGAATCCAAAGCCATCTATCACTTCCCTGTCCCATCCACATGGCCCAGGGAACCTTGAATTATGAACATATCCTTCTCTCTGAAACTTTCTTTTAAACATAGTTTTTAGCTGATCAAGGACTTGGTGGGGAGGCCGCTGATCATTACAGGGTCTTTATCTACAAATTTTGCAGTAGTTCCGATTCAGGAGGTGCATTCATATGCTATGTGGCACAGTATGAGAAATAAGAGACTTTTGTTTCCTGAAAGCTTGTAGAATGGTAGTCAGAATTCCAACAGTCTGGCCTATGATTTCATTAGGTGCCACTCATCAATTGTGCATAATGAGGGTGCCCTTAGGAAGGCAGGAGCTTCTCCTTGGAAATCCTCTCATTTACAGAGAAACAAATATCCCTCCTTTCAAATACATCTTATACATGCAAAACAGCAGTCTGTTTCCGCTAAGTCACATTCTAGCTAAATGGATAATTGAATGGTGAATGGGGCTGGTACTCAGCTGCTAACCTGCAGAGTTTCTACACATACACACTCCCAAATTGCAGCAGAGTAATTCCCAGGAGGCAGAAAGCATGACTGATTTTTCCAATAAAGCTACAAAAATCGATAATCCTCGCGAATGGAATGCTCGCATCTCTAACCATCTCAGAGTTTCATCTTCCTCTGCGATTCCTTCCAAACAAGCCTCTGTCTTTACTTGGCACATGTCCCCAATTCCACACCACCAGCATTTAGCCTGAGTTCTATTCCAGTTCTGCTGAACGTACCTTTTAGAGACCCTGCAATGCGTCTTGATTTAGGGATGCTTGGGTTTTATGTGGCTCTGGGAAAT